TATAATGAGCTCCCTAAAACTGCATGCAGCACAGTATAGAGACACCCTGGCTAGGCAGCTATTGAGCACAGATGTCTCCACTCACCTAGAAGCTACGTGTGAGGGGGACAAGAATTTGTAATTTCTTTTGCCACTTAGTGACAGTTAAAATAGACTAATTAGGGGCATGGCTTCCTTCATACAGATTGCTAATTTCTGTGACCAAGAGACCTGTTGAACAGCTATGAAGAGCGCTGTGGTTTGAGTCAACAGACAAAGACACCGTGGTCCTGGGAGACTCAGTATTGACATCGAGCAGGATCATCTCCTCAGAACCTCAACCTGTAAGGTAGTGAGTTTGGTCATGTCACCACTGAGATTTGTGTGGGCATGATACAGAGCTGGGAGTATAAAGTGTCACCTTCACTGTCACGGTAGACATTGCTCTGTGTTGCATTAGGTCTGAAAATTGTAAATGCTCTGGGAGGAGTGGTCTCCTATAGCATACACTGATTTCCCTGGTAAGATGGCAGGCTGTTGAAGATCTGCCCTAACTGTCCCATGGAGCTAACATGGGACTTGTAGCACAGGTACACTATGGTTTCTAATGTTAGTTGTCTTGGAGGCATTGTTTCTTGGGAAAACAAGTAGGGATATGTTGTTTTTTTCCTCTGGACATTTAGTAAAACTCTGTTGTATTTGCTCTGTGATATTTGCTGTAAATTTATTGCCTGTATGAAAATGCATGTCTATGTTATGGAAGTATTAATGGGTATGTTGTGGACATCAAAAGGAACACACTGACCTGTCCTCATGTTGTCACCCCTTACCTGCTTCACCAAACTGACATGAATTCATGGTCTTGTTCACTGCTGTTAGGGCTTAATTGCTTTCATTCACTTAGAAAATACAGATGGTGTGTGTCTCCTTTTGGCATTTTGTGTCCACGCTGCTTTAATAAATAAATAGGTATAAAGTATCTGGTGTATGCATACGTAAATTGTGGACAGTATGAGCAATCACTTATGTTATATTCATAATCCCTGAGGCAGAAGAGAAGATCAAGTCAAGTATAGATTTACCAAAGGGATAAGTCACACAAAATCTGATCCTTGGGCATTCGTCCCCACTCTACACAAGACCTCCATTCATCACTGGAGTGCTTGTGACGTTCCCCCTCTGTGACCTGCTCAGAAGTTTTCATGAAGTTGCACTGCTGCAGTTGCTGGCCTTCAGTTCTGTGGTTCTAACAAAAGTCTTTGAGATTTTCCTTTAAAAAGCTTCCGAAATGGGAAGACTCAAGCTCAAAATATTACTTAAAGTTAACAAATAAACAAAGAAAGCCCACCCAAAAGAGAAATTTTAGGTGGAAAATCTTTCTTCTCAGTATCTCAGTCCTCTGGTGTAAAGCACAGCTAGAATTTGAGACTGAGCACACAACAATTTGGTATTTTGTTTAGAACATTTGCTGTGTGGGGACTGTCCTGATTTTTATGAATTACAAAGACAAATAGAATGCTGCATCTGTTGCTGATTAATTTATTATAACGATGATTCAAGTCTTCTACTGTGGTCTATGTTAATGGCTTTGTACTCCACATTTACTGTGCTTGTGTCAATGTCTGTGGTACATCCCATGCCTCTGGACCCATCACCTCTGTATGAACCACTCACTGCCTGTCACTTCTGTACAAGTTTGGCTAATTTTGCTCACTAGTCTCTGCCAGCAATTATGTCACATCTTGTCTGTGTGTTCAACTGTCTGAACCTCATAAATAAATACTTGCAACACCGCTAGTACCTCCAAATCCTGTGACTCCCAAATGTTTTGCTTATTCACTTAGCTGATTTACAGCCATATCACTGGTGACCAGTCAGACTGCAAAAGGGAATGGGCTCTTACTCTGTCTCATCCAGACACGCTGATGGATAGACAAGATGAAGGGCAGACCTCACATCCCATCAGGCTACCTGGTTTATTTAGGTAGATTAAAAATATTGTCAGTAGTCAAGGACTTGCTTCTGCTCTGCTTTCAAAGCAGTGGAAGCTTTGCTACTATCTCCAAAGGGGATGTCTCCGCAGCTGAAAAGCAGGCAGACTTCTGCCTGGGATGAGAAATAGCCAAGTCTTGGTTACCCGAACAAGGCTAATGCATGACAATGATGTGTTTTTCAGAGGAGTGAGTGTTGAGCTACTTCCAGTGTTAGCCCTGTTGTGCTGGGGATGTTGGTCAACAGCATTTCATCTAGGGAGGGGTAGATTGTCTTTTGGAAGTATTTGTCTGCCTCAGTGGAATAAATAACAATCTCAGTGATCATCTTAGTATGGACACCTATGTTTCAAGCAGATGTGAGTGGAGATATGAATTACAATATGATAATTTTTGGAAGGCTTTTGCTGTCTTTCTTTTCAAAAATCTGATTTCTTTTTCTAGGATTGAACTGAAGTCAAAGCAAAAACATGGTTATTCATGTAACAAGGGAGTAGAAATTTTAAAAGTAAGCAGGGCAGGGTCTGAATGACTCTGTACCAGCTGGTATATTATTTTCTGGTCCTCATTTAACACAGAAGACACTAGAAAATGCGATGTGGTTGGATTAATTATGCTGAAGGAATGTTCTCTTGCATATCCTGGCACTGTTATTTTAACTGTGCAATCAATGTGTGGCATTAACATGCTTCTGTCTCACTCTTCAGAAGGCAAGAATTCACAGGAGTTTAAGGACTCACAGCAGCTTATCTTTAATCCAAGTGAATTTCTGAAATATTTAAGGCCCTGTAAAGTCTGCAGTTTGCGCATGGTGCGCATAGTGCATCTTGTACATTGAGAGGATGCATACATGGTGTTTACTACTACCTATATAAATATTGTCAGTATTTTTTTTTTAAACTAGATTTGAATGTAACCATCTCTCAATAGGTTATAATTATGTTAACATATATCCACAGTCACACTGGACTGAGAACAACTGTCTGACATGATGCATTTGGTAACATAAGACGATAATAAATTTCTTGATGGTTTTGGACCTGAGAATTTGGACCATATTCATGTTTCACTGTAGATGCTTATCAATATTGCCTAGTGTGGAGGGAAGAAGTTGGGAGTAGCAATGAATAAATGTGAGTAAATTAGGGGAATACTGCTGCAAGCTAATGTCAAGTAATAATGTTTGTTGAAAGTTGTAAGCATTAGACATTTCAGCTCCAGGAGTGGTGACATGTTTAGGAAGATACAAGACTGCAAAATGCAATAGGGGATTATAATGTTTGCTATTAATACGGTTCAGTACTTTGGAGGACAAATTAAGTCCATCAGAAGAGGATGATTAAGAGTCTCCAAAAATCTCTGCCATTTGCTCGGCAATGCCCTGCCCGGTGCAGGGCAGGGTGCCCTGGAATCATCTTATTTTCATTTCAGTTTTGTGTCTTTTCATTCCCTTCATTTGCAATTTTTAAAACATCTACCAATGGTTTACAGAAGTAACTATGTGATATGCCAAAATTTCAACACACAAAAGCTGGAACACTGAAATGTAAAACTCTTGTTTTGGTGGATAGCAACAAAAGTCACCCATACCGGACTGGGGAGGTGATAGAAAGAGAGGACTTGGCTGTCATTCGCACAGTCCCATGTATCATTTCCCATTTCTCTTGGTTCACATGCATTTCCACTGAAGTCAGTGAGGCTCACAGAATGATTTTCCAAGTAATCAATTATTTATGAGATTTGCGTAGTGTGCAGAGCCCTAAAATAAGATTTGTGTTAAGGGTAATAGTGGAGCCAGTGATTTGTTGTGGAGAGATGTCTATGTTCCTATTTGCAACTGCTGATTAATGGAAAAACAAAGTTTATCCTTTTGGTTCAGAATTTGACTCAGAAGTACTGTGAGTTACACTTTGGCCTATCTATGGGACATACAGCACAAATAATTTTTGTTAGCTTAGTTGTCTTTTACCCTTAGCTGAAACCAAGTGTCACACAGATAATGCAACTCCAAGCTAAATGTATAACAAGGAGATGTCAGGGTCCTACCCAGAGTTCTCATCAGGTGTAGTGTGGCAATACTAGGTTGGATGAATATCTGATATGGGGAACAGAATTAAGATCATAGGTGTGCTGACAAAGTCCATCTGCCTTTTAAAACTGTTGAAAGTTGCATGTTCTTGTGTGACTCCGTGTTGACTGAAGGAGTGCAGAGGGTAAATAGAGACACAGCATTAATCCCACATGGGAATCTAATCTAATTGCTCTTTCAGAGCTTCAGTAACTCTATAGTTTTTGAGCATCTCTCATATGACAAGGAATCTGCCTTCACAGTTTGCTTGCAAGATAGTGATGTGTTACATTACACATTTCCCCAATTTATAAATACAGGGAAAGAGACACCTTTGGCAGAAGGTCACATGAGTGATCTATAACAATAACTAGTTAATGCCAAGTTCACACTTCACCATTTCCTTCTAAAGTAGCAGCTTATAGTCTGCTCTCAGGTCTGTTGCTAATTTAGACAAGCTAATTTAGATCAGGATGTGCTTCTGCTTCATGCCCCAGTTTAGACATCCATCTCTGTGGCTTTCTTCTCAGCAACTGCTCTTGCCATCCATCAGAACTCACCGCGTGAGTGCCATGTGGTGTAATATTTGCCTGAAACACGAGAGGAGGTCTTTGGAGGAAAGCCAGATGACATGGAAATGGAAGAGGTGACAGACGGATGCTGTTAGATGTGTACATCTTCCATTTAGCTCTGCTAGCCATTTTCATACCTGGTTTGTGTTGGTTCAAAACTGTGTCATGATGTGTTTTGGAAAGACATGTCATGATCTGTTGATTGGCAGACCTTTCTCAACTTGGCTGCTAGGATGTGGCAAATGAGGAAGGGCAAACTGCATCATAAAAGTGAGCAGTATTAAGGTCTGTCATTTCCCTTGTGAACTGTAAATAATTAAATGATTTGTCTTTTTCACAGGAGAACCTGTAGTCTGTTTGTGCTGACCATAGGCAGCTGAGCAAAGCATCATGACAAGCCATCAGGCAGGTGAGAGAACAGATTCAGCTATGAAAACTATCTGGGGTACCCCTGAGAATAAGCCCAACTTGGTTTTCTCATTTGGCAATTAGGTATCTGTCTGTTTCTCACCACCACAAGGAGGGATACCAGTAACTGGCCCATCAGGGTCTGCTGACCTTTGCAATAGTGTCTTTCTCATGCCAGATTTTGAAGGGTTATTTGGAACAATAACTGATGTAAAGCATTCCCTATCCAAATAATCGCTAGACCTGTAAGCTGATGTGGCCCTGGATTGTGATCTTGGTTGCAGATTTTCCCACTTGGGCCCTAGCTTTGCAGTAAGTCAGCACAAAACCACAGACCTTAATGCTCCAGCCTTTGGACACACTTACAGCCTGCAGTACTAGAATGGGTGGGTCCTTTATAGTCCAAGAGGAGCTGAGTAGGAACAGTTACTATTCTATAGAAAGACAATGCAGATTGAGAGATTATTTCTAAAGGACAAACATGTTATCTTAATTGAATGTATTTTTCCTTGCCTTTCCAGTAAAATCTTTCAAGAAATCTTCTGTCCCAGGAGTTACTATCACCCAGTTTGTAGACGATATTCCAAATGGATGCAGTACACCTGACTTTGAGCGGAAACCTGTCACTCTGACATTGCAGGAAGGTGAGGTTCTTGAAGAGCCACAGACCTGGAGGCTTGACTCCATGTCTCACCTACATGAAACAATTATTGTAATTAAATCAAGCTAGTTTCTAAAGAGATTTGACTAGACCAGAAAAAAGTGTTATGTGGCCAAAGTCTTTGTTGTACTGATGAAAATTCCATCGGTACTGATAGACGTCTCCTGAGTTTTCACTAGTGTATGCAAAATCAAAATCTGGCTCCTAATGTATACAACAAATCCTGTGAATTCTGCAGGAAGCTCTCAAAGTATTTTGCAGCAAAAGATTGAAATAATTCTTTCTTCCTATTGAACTAACTTGTATTATGAGCATTCAGCACTAAAATTAACTGCTTTTTAAAGTAAGATATGCTGACTGCAGATGTTATTTAGGCTGTACTTCTCCTTCAAGAAACAATATGGATGTTGCATAGAGTATAGAGAAGGCAGCATATGAGCTGAGACCTAAAATCAATGGGAAAACTTCCAGTAATCTCTCTGCACTTGCAGAGTCTTTCTTTTTTTTTCTTCTTTTTTTTTTTTTTTTCTGAAGTGGGATAGCCTGAGGAGATCGTGTGGCTTCTCTTCCCTCACAAGATTGAACTGTTTCTAGCACCCTGGATTTCAATGTTGTCACGCCCATCTGCTGATTTTCACGAGCCATTGAGATTTTATGAAGGAGCACAGTGGCCTCTAGTGGTACATTCCTCCTCATCCCCCACCTTCCACCTTCCACCTACAAGTTTCAGGCATGAACCAAGGCGGTGGTCAGTCACCCTGTCTAAATTTTCCAAATTACTTCATTTACAGTACGTCTTGTGGTTCATATACAAAATGTTAGGGCATTCAGGTGGGTCACTGTGTAAAGTGAATTCAGTGTCTATGCAGATGCATGATGAGTGTCTTTAATGATATTGTCATTGCCTTTTTGCATTCAGTGCATGGATTAGCTGATACTCCTAGCTGTGGAGTTGTGTCCTGTGACAGATGGCAAGCATGGGAAATTGCAGCCAGAATGGCTAAAATTTGACAAAGGTATAATCAATTGGAAACAGACTTTAATAATAGATAGTACTGCAATCTCAGAAAAAGTTGGAAGATGCCATTTGATAAGAATTGGTTGGCAGGAGCTTGCTGCATCAAATAAGTTTTTTGGTGGTGACTGCAGAAGGGCGTGGGAAATATTGCAAGACTTTCTGGGGAGAATTTTTAACAGTGTTGGTCACGTGAAGACCACAACTATTGCAAAAGAAAGATAGTAATTGTTTCTGCCCTGAGCTATATCCATGGATGACTCATCTCCATTTCTATTCCCCTGTGACACTCCCACTTACCTATACACGAGTCACTTCTCTGATTTGTTGTTTCATCATGTTTCTTATGTCTTTGAAGCCTTTTGGAAGAAAAAGAAAAGGGTTGTACTAGGCAGTGGTAAAGCTGTTGGAGATTTCTGTGGTCAGTTGCAGCATACTCAGATTCTTAGGGGAGCAGAGATGAAGGAGAGAGCTCACAGGTAAACCCCATCCTTTTCTCCCTTCTGTGCCTCTTTCAATAGCAGAGCCTGGTGTGTTTGGAGTGCAAGGTGGTGCCAGGCTAGCAGACAAGAAAGATATTGCAGAAAGATGACATGTAGGGGGTACATGGGGAAACATCCTACCCTGCATGGGTCCTCCCAGTTGTGGTACAGTGTTGTCTGTTAAGAATGTGTTTTCTTAAGTGTGCAGAAGGGATATTTTCTTGTTCCCACCTTCTAATAAATCCAAATTTATCCAAATGAAAAAGAGACCAGGAGCTGCAACTATTCACAGATGAACTTCACTGATGTCTAGAGACAGGGGACTCCAGCACAGTGAGTCCTTTGTTATTTAACATCCTGTCCAGCATGGTCACAACAGAGGACCAGTCTGAAAGAATGGAAAAGTGATGGGAACTTGCAGGGGAATATGTGTGTGATGAGAATGGATTTGGGCATTTCATGGCTGTGGTACAAGCAATGCATACAAGTTGGCGGAAGCAAGTCAAGGCTGAACTTGCTATAGCGCTGTTGATTTCAGAGATGATCAGAGGATGTTAGCAGTCAAGTCTGGCAGGCTAACACCACGTTTTAAAGGCCTTTAATGATTGAATACAGGGAAACCTGACATTATTGACATGGGGAAAGGTAGCGCAGCCTGGACTTGAGCTAATAACTGCTTGCTCTTTGGCCCTGCCCAAATTTCGAGGGAGTTCAAAATCAGACCAAGATACCAAAAAATTGCTGTCTTGGATATGTGATTTCTCTATCAGCATGGCTGTGCAATAAAAACACAGGCAGAGACTGTATGTGTCAGTGGTGAATTTTAAAGTTAGTTTTCAAGTAATCTCTTTGAAAGCCAGTGAGTTAGAGTGGAGATTATGGCAGATGTCTTGCAGTAATTTGGGCATTTAATGCAACTTAAACTGGTAATTTAGGCATCTTTTACAGAGAAAACAAAAAGATGTAATTGTTTTCAAAGAATGTTTCTGCCTAAAACAACAGAGATGGCTCACTCTGGGTATCACTCTATTGATAACATAAGGGGCCTGGCATGAGTGTCCTCATGTTCAAGCCTGTCTTAAATAACTGATTTCTTGCCTCTTTTCAAAGGTAAAAATGCCATTTTCAGAGCTGTGGTCAAAGGTGTCCCAACCCCTGACGTGAAATGGACGCGTATGCAAGGAGGAATGGATGATCCTGCCAAATATGAAACATTCTTCAATAACGTTACAAATGAATTCATTCTGCAGGTAAAGACCAAATATTTCAGACAGGACTCATGGAACAGAGAGAGCAATGGAAAGGAAAAACCTGCAGTGGGCTGATTTAGATGTCACCAGATCTGAGATAACACAAAGATAAGCAAATAAAGCTTTTTAGGGTCATTCTGGGAACAGAAGAAAGATCTGAGATGTCATTGAGTAGCTGGTTTATTACAAGCTGAAGGTGTGTGAACTGAGCCACAGCACATCGCTGTGAGCTCTTACTGTGTTCTTCTTTTTAAGATAAACAAACTCACTACAGATGACAGCGATTTGTATCGTTGCTTTGCTGTGAATGAATATGGGGAAGCTGCATGCTCTGCTGGCCTCAGGATCATACAAGGTAGGACTGACCAGTTCTGTGTTCCAAGGGTCCTGTGGTCCCAAGTAGTTGGCTTTTCTGTCCTCTGGGGGTGGATGCCCAGAGCATTGTCTAAGTATCCTTGATGTGAAGGTCTATTTTTCCACTCACTGAGGACTGAAGGTCTTCTGTGACTCCCCCCACTTTGGTGACTCCATGACACTATGAGCTTTAAGGCAAGGGAGAAGAAAGTGGTATTGTGGTCACTGCACTGGACCATAATCAGATGTTCTGGATTTAGTGTTGGTGTTGAATTGGCTCAATCCTTTCTTTATAATGTTGAACAAATCAGTCTTTTGGGAGGGATCCATCCCACTTCACTTCAGACATCTATGGTGTCTACCTGACCTAGTCCCCTGCTTCCCTTTATAGTCAGTGGAGAGAAATGGGCACTTTGTGGGTAAAATATAACTGGGTAATATATTCTTGGAACCTACTCAAGCAGGAGGTGGACTATGTTGGAAGCATCCATTTCACCTGTGTGCCTGTAAAGTTTAGAAGGCAACTATCTGCATTTGGCCAGATAATCTTTGTACCTTGGCTCCCCATCTCTAAAACAAGATGTTAATATTTCCTACCATTGCTTAAGCCAAAAGATTCATAGGGCAGAAACAGTCTCCTCCACTGTGTAGAGTATCCAGTAAGCACAGAGTCAATTGCAATAGAAATATTGCATTTATAGATGGAGATTACTGGGAGTCAATGTCAGATTGATAAGGAAATCCAAATTAGGATTTCCTCTTGCATTGGTAACAGATACAAAGGTTTTATTTTATAGTTCATTGGTTTACTGGTGTTAGTCTGACTGTTATCTTGTTCATCTTATGGCTTGTTTTTCCTCTGTTTTCTCTTATAAACTATCAGCTGGCTTTAAGAGGAAAGCGAGATATGTTCCTGTTCACCCTGCTGATGGTAAGTTAGAATTAGATATATTTTCTTTTTTGGGGTGGGGAGGGAGGGCATATAGTCCTCTGTCTACCACATTATTACTACCCCAAACTTGTAAAGAATAAAGTAAGAGAAGGGTTGATGAATCGCTAATACTCTGTTGTCTCTTTCTGCTTGCTGTTTACCTTTGAGTAAAGTGTTGATCTTAGATATGGCTTTGAGCTGTTCTAATTAATGATTCTGGAATCATTAGTGCTGGGAAAGGATTTTGTGATGTCAAATACAGCTGGATCAAACATGTTAACATGGCTGGAAAATAGTGGGTTTCTAGAGCGTCCTCTCTAGAAAGAGAGGAAATCCCCCTAGGAAGCGATGAACTATAATGGCACTCAAAGGACATGAGTATGGCAAAGAAAACTGGCTCAAAGTTTCGTGGCAGTGTTTTTATAAAGTGTGAAAATATCACCAGAGGTAAACAGCATAGTAGAATGGCCTGTTGTCAGTGGCTATTTTTCATTATATTCTTTTGGGGGATATATTTGACAGTGTTGAGTGTCTGAATGTTTGTTGTTTCCTCCACCCTTTAATAGAGTTAAAGAAGAAGCTTCAGGAGTTCAGGAAGCTGCTGAGGAAGCGGTAAGCCTCTGTAATGAAGGCCATTGTTACACTTCCTAGATGTTTCTTGATGACAGGGGACAGCTTCATAGATCTTCATGGCAACACTTCTTGTTTCCAAAGTTGTTGTGAGACAAAATATGGAGAGACATAACAGAACAATTTGACACTGTCTGTGAGGCTAAGATAAACACAAGGTACCAACCTCATTTTGAGGTGTATGTTCCTTTGCACCACAAGATTTTGACTTAAAAGATGTGTTTCTCTGCTTTCCTGTTTTTAGCTCACAAGTAACTTCCTGCCTAAGTGACAAGTTATGTAATGATCTTTCTAGCTAATCAGGGACTGAGCCCTGTCTCCCAGACCAACAGCACAGACTGCCCTGTGCAGATTGCTGAAATCCCTTCACTTCCCAGGTGGGAACCTCCAAAGATTGCCTGATGGGAATGATCTCTGGCCTGTGCAAAATCCTGAACTGTGCTGAGAAATTACTTGGGAGAGTGCAAGCTGGCCTGGGCCAGAATGTGCCAGTGACTCTGCTGATAATTTAACAGTGTGGACAACTGCATTACAGTCTTGCCCTATATGGCCCAGGGCAAGACTGTTCCCTGGCAGCATTTAATTTGTAGTACAGATGGAGAACACCTGTTCTGGAAGAGTCCCATTCTTTCTTGCCTACATCTACAGGGCCAAGTGAACTACAGAAATGATGGAGAGAGAGGTGAAAGGGGATTAAGTATAGAAAAACAAGACATCTTGTCGTCTGTCAAAATGTCTAGATTTTTTTTTCCCCCCCTGGTTCTAAGGGCCCCAGCACCAAAACCAAAACCCTTGGACAAAGAAGCAGTCTGGCAACTGTTGCTGCATGCAGATAGGAGAGATTATGAGAAAATCTGTATGAAATATGGAATTGTTGACTTCCGTGGGATGCTGAGAAAGCTGCAAGAGATGAGGAAGGACACAGAAAGTGAACAAGGAGAGGTAAAATAAACTGAAAGCTCTGATTTTTAACAAACAACTGCAGAGTCCTATAGTTCCTCAGTAGGTTCTGAAAACAGGCTAAACCTTCCTAAATTTCTTTCTAGATGAAAATTTTATTGTATGACAGAATGATTTATGATAATGTTTTAAAAGAAATCCTACTTCTATACTCATGCAGATGAAAATGCTATTGACTTTTTTGAAGTTCAATTCACAAATTTTAGGAGATACTGACCATAGGATAATACGTTCAATAATTTTATTAAACTACATGGCTAAAATCTGTATTCAGTTGCCTCTGATGAGAATTTGGACCCCAAATAGAAAAGTTATATGCCTGAGAGTCAAAATTGGCCTTCACATACAAGGGCATGTAGAAATCTGGACGAACAGTGGTTGTGTAGTGTGTGAATGACCAGGAGGTAGCATGTAAAATATAATTTGCCTACAGGAGGAAACTGTGGAAGCTTACAGATGCTTCTCCTACACACATGAAGTTAGAGGTAGCTCTTTTCTATGCAGACAAAAAGTAGATTTCACATTAGTTCAACAGCTTAAGAACTTCTGTCATGGCAGCCTTATCATTTACTAGATTCTTGTATCTTTCTTTGCAGTTACTACACAGTATCAGAAACTTTGAACACATCAAAGTCAACAAGGATGGAAAAGCTACATTCAGTCTGGTGATGGACCTGAAAAATCACAACAGCAAAGTTTATCTGCTTAAGGTGAGGGGGTGAGATGAGTTGACCAGCTCATAGTAGCCACTGAAGTCTTCTACATAAAATGTTTGATCTGCTGAGCAGTGGCTGAAAGAAAATATACTTCTTAAAGTTGTCTGTCCATTGCGGAATTCTTCATTGGTTGGGTTACCTGGTGTGAGGGTCCAGGTAGTCTTTGGTGGTGATTATCACTTGGGATTTGTAGATCCAAGTACAGGGGAAACGGTCAGTTACTGACATCCTTTTGACTTCAAGAACTCTTCTGGTAAGAGGAAATTCTAAGAGTGTCTTTCAGGCAGCAGAAATTATGCAGTCTCATATAAGAAGAAAAAAGATTTTATTCACCTTTTCACGTGTGTTATTCCATTATAACTCACTGCTGTGAAAGAAGATCTCAAGGAAGTGAAATATCCTGTCTAATTGTGTAGTTAGTCTGATGTGAACCCCAGGTGATAAGTGCTGTGGATGTTTTTCTGGAAGATACATTTCAGTCAAACTGTGGTTAGTGGCTTTAATACAGGGGAAATCAGAATTTATTAAAGAGGAGGTCAGACTAACTCTATGAACTTCTGAATCAAATGCATGACATGAAGTCTATGCAGCCACAACGCGGAGAAGGTAACCCCAGTGTGTTACAGATAGGAAAGTGGTGACCTCGCCTGCTTGTCCATCTATGAGGATGCTAAAATCTAAGCAAAGAAACTACTTTGTCTTCAAAGTTACAGTAACTGTGTATTAGTTAAGCTTCAAAACCTTATGTAAGCTAGCAAAGTACTATTGTTTTGCCTAGTTTGGGAGTCTGATGCTCTGTTCTGTGCAGGACTGACTTACTGCAAATATTATTGCCTGTGTGTTACATAAGCAATGAGTCTGGTCCACTTAGAGCTGTCCGCTGTAAGTAGTAATAGAGCGTAGACTTCTCTGTTGTTAATCATTTATATGAATAAGGTGGTTGTAGCACAAATTTGGCCTCATTAGTTTGAAATGCCTTGCACTAGTTGTGCATTGCCTTTAAGAGTACATTTTTCTTTCTAGGATGGTGAGAGGCTCAGATATGGAACAGGGGATGAATACAGAAAGCACTGCCTGAGGCGAATTGGAAAAAGGTATAGCTTCATTGTCAACGATGTGCAGCCAGAAGATGCAGGCGTGTATCAAGTCAGAGTGGAGGATGTACCTGTTTTCTCAACTGAACTGGATGCTGAATGTAAGGAATTGAGTTACATGTATGTGATGTGCAACTGTAACAAGTTTTGCTGGAAAATTTTATCTAGGAGCATATGCAAAGCTCAGGAGTAAAAACTGATAACTACAGAAGACTGGTTTTGTGTTGCCAAATAAGGGCTCCTCGTATGACACAGGTGAAAAAGAGCAGGAGAGTGATTATGGGATATGGGTATGGCATTTGTAGTGCAAAGGACTAGGTTCAAGTACCAGTTTGGCTCTGGCTTCTGGATGACAGTGAGCAAATTCCTTAACTTACCCCATGCTAGAGTTTCCTTTTGTAAGCTCAGAATAATAATACAAGTATCATGCTGCTGAAATACATTGACTACAAATTATCACCACATCAGTGATGTGTGGTATAACTGTCTCAGAAGATAATAAACACAAAAATCTACTTTTCTGCCTTTTTGTCCTGTAGAACTGGGCACAGGAGCACATCTCAATTTTAACATTTTCTGCTTAAACCAATGCTCACATGCATGGCAAGTTCCTGTCTGTCTTTCTTCCTTTAGCTGCAAAAAGTTTTTCTTGGAAGACAGAAATAGCTCTCTGTTTCCTTTCTATAGCTTTTTATTTTTCCATTGCAGCCATCCCTGTGAGATTTCAGCAGCCACTCAGTGATGTGCGTTGTTCTGAGGAAGAAGATGCTGTCTTTGATTGTATCCTACGCACACCCTGTTACGATGCTGTGTGGCTACACAAAACCCACCTCCTTGAGGCAAGTGAGAAGCACCAGATCTCCGTAACACCTGATGGTCTGACCCACCAGCTGATTATCAAAAATGTTGTGCCCTCTGACAATGGCATGTACACCCTCGACACTGGACTCTGCTCCTCAAATGCCTGGCTTATTGTAGAGTGTAAGTGACACTGTATTATTCCCATAATGTTGGCTTGAGATGTGTTAACAAAATAATATTCCTCTCACTGCCTGATTGCTCATTGAGATGATTCTATTCTGAGAAATGAATTGTGGAGCCTCTAGTTCCTAAATTATATTTAGAAAAATGAAGGTCTAGGTTAGACCCTCTTTCTTCTTCAGATGAGACAAATTTTTCCCTTTTTATTAGTCCTGACAAATCCTATTGGCTAATTTACTCTATAGCTACTATGAAGTAGCATGTTCTCTATCAGTTATTGAAAAATGCTCCATATCTCAGCCTGGGTATTTGATGAAGCTGTCACTATGTGAACACAGTACAGCATACAGGGCATCAAGGAGCTTTCAATACTATCAATTCTATTCTACCAATATGCACCACCACACAATACTATTCAATACTATCTTGCTAGATAGTATTTTTCTTTCCAAATTAGAGGTTAAACATGTTTGAAGAAGCTCAAAGGAAGCTGGGAAGATGGGAAACACTCCTTTCAGTGCAAGCAGATTAATAGTTAGCTGGCTCGTATTTTTTTGCTTCTGAAAGGTAGTTGCTTTGGTTTCTTTTGAGATCCTGCTGCAGCAAAAGGTGGTCTCTTTCATAAAGGCTTTTTTGATGACCTTTCAGAAACAGTGCAGGTTGAGTATGACATACAAAAAACTGCCCACTGATTTCATTGAGCTGTTAATGCTCTGCAGAAATGATATCTAGCTGGGAAATCAAAACAGTGAGTGACCTGCTCTCAGAAAAGCCTGAATTTGAGATTAATACAAAGCTATTCACAGAACTGGAATCTTTAGTCTTCAGGTTGGCCATGTCTAAAATGCCAGGATGCCAGATGTGCAAGCTGCCTCAGTACCAGTGAGATCCTAATTCAAGGGTGGGAACTGATGACCGCTCTGTGCATGGGATATTCTCTAACTCCTCCAGGGCTGGAGGGAGAAGGCAGAAGGAGCTAATGAATTCCAGATACAATCTAAGTCCCTCAGATTAGACCAGTCATGCTGGAAATTTGTCTTGGTTTTCTGCTTTTTTTGTTTGTTTGTTTGTTTTAACAAGCATGTTTCCACTAAAAGTAATTGTCTTTTTAACCAAGAAATGTAAAAATATGTCTGAATGTGATACTGAAAAAATTAGGATTTGAACTGAATTTAAATTTACTTAAATATATTATGTTTCTGTGTCCTAGAATGAAATTATAACAAATGCTAACACATTTTCTTTGGTTGTTGATGCAGTACATGACCTATTGATTGTCTGTCCTTTTTTTTTTCCCCTCTCTTTTCCTGTAAATTATATCTCCTCCAATCAAACAATTCATCTTCAATACAGATGCCAAAGGAAAGAGGAGACAGGGTGAAGGAGGTGAAAGACAGAAATCTGAGTGGCTGAAAGAAACATTGCCAGATAAAGACAGGGCTAAGAAACTTCGACGCAGAGAATATATTGGTGATGAAGATCATCTTATGGACACTGACGTGGAAAAAGATGGCTGGTATAGAAATGGTCAAATTGGCAGTGAAGGACACTCCATTGATGTTGATGGAAACCATAGATTTTTGGGAAAAGATGGGCTACACAGGCCCCACAGAAATGGAAGGATGGGGTTTGGGCAGTTTTCTGGAGCAGACCTAGGTGGAGACTCAATGACAAATGATGGTAGTAACTTTGGATTAAAAGGCTTAGGAGGCAAAACTGGATTAAGGACTTTCCGTGGCAAGGATTCTATGACAGGCAGAGCAGATACTGGTGATGAATTAGGAGGACCAGGTGAATGGTATTCTGCGGATGGCAGAGATGATGGTATGGTGGATGCTGTTAACATTGACATGGATAATGGAGAAGGAGTGAGCTCTCAGCATGGCAAGGATGGTAAATTAGGTGATAGTAGGTACAGAGCTGGCTTTGGACGTGTTGGGAGATTAGGTGCTACTGATGGAAGTTCTGTGTTAAACAGGCTCGATCCTCATTCAACAGGAGTGGGAGATGGTAAGGGTGGTAAGGGTGACCTGTTAAGTAGGACTAGTCCAGGGACTGGAGCTAGAAAAAATGCTGCAGGTACTGAGATTGCAGGAGGAATGAAGTCCCCCTATGGCAAGGATGGTCTGCCCACTGTACTTGATATGAATGGAGCAAATATAAACAGAGAAGGACAAATAGGGACTCCCTATGGCAAGGATGGCCTGACACTTCATGCCAGCGGTCATTTAGGGCAGGAAGGAAGGTCTGACTTGCTCTATAGCCCAGGGCTTCTTCCAGCTGGACATGGGGCTATATCTGGTGCAGGTGGCAGTTATATAGGGGAAATGGAGGCTCTGTATGGTCCAGATGGTCAGACAGTTGGAACAAGTAATGGCAGTGCTGCTGTAGCTGGTGCAGGAGCTGTTGGGCCTCCGTATGGAAAGGATGGTCTCCCAGCTGGAGCAGGTGTTGGTGGTGCTGGTGCAGCTGGTGCAGGAGGAGTTCGATCTCCCTATGGAAAGGATGGTCTCCCAGCTGGAGCAGGCATTGGTGTTGCTGGTGCAAGGGGAGTTGGGTCTCCCTATGGAAAAGATGGTCTCCCAGCTGGAGCAGGCATTGGTGTTGCTGGTGCAAGGGGAGTTGGGTCTCCCTATGGAAAAGATGGTCTCCCAGCTGGGGCTGGCATTGGTGGTGCTGGTGTAGCTGGTGCAGGGGGAGTTGGGTCTCCCTATGGAAAGGATGGTCTCCCAGCTGGGGCTCGCATTGGTGGTGCTGGTGTAGCTGGTGCAGGGGGAGTTGGGTCTCCCTACGGAAATGATGGTCTCCCAGCTGGGGGGGCTGGGGCTGGTGGTACTGGGGTAGGTGGTGCAGGTGGAGTTTGGTCTCCCTTCAGAAATGATGGTCTCCCAGCTGGAGCTGGCATTGGTGGTGGTGGTGTAGCTGGTGCAGGGGGAGTTGGGTCTCCCTATGGAAAGGATGGTCTCCCAGCTGGGGCTGGCATTGGTGGTGCTGGCATAGCTGGTGCAGGGGGAGTTGGGTCTCCCTATGGAAAGGATGGTCTCCCAGCTGGGGCTGGCATTGGTGGTGCTGGTGTAGCTGGTGCAGGTGTAGTTGGGTCTCCCTATGGAAAGGATGGTCTCCCAGCTGGAGCAGGTGTTGGTGGGGCTGCAGCTGGTGTTTTTGGAGGTATTGGATCTCCCTATGGAAAGGATGGTCTTCCAGTTGGGGCTGGTGTTGGTGGTGCTGGTGTAGCTGGTGCAGGGGGAGTTGGGTCTCCCTATGGAAAGGATGGTCTCCCATCTGGCGCTGGTGTAGCTGGTGCAGGGGGAGTTGGGTCTCCCTACGGAAAGGATGGTCTCCCAGTTGGGGCTGGCATTGGTGGTGCTGGTGTAGCTGGTGCAGGGGCAGTTGGGTCTCCCTATGGAAAGGATGGTCTCCCAGCTGGCACTAGTGTTGGTGGGGCTGGTGTAGCTGGTGCAGGGGGAGTTGGGTCTCCCTATGGAAAGGATGGTCTCCCAGTTGGGGCTGGCATTGGTGGTGCTGGCATAGCTGGTGCAGGGGGAGTTGGGTCTCCCTATGGAAAGGATGGTCTCCCACCTGGGGCTGCTGGAGTAGGTCTTGGTGGTTCTGATGTAGCTGGTGCACAGGGAATTAGTTCTCCTTATGGAAAAGATGGTCTTCCGGTGGGAATGGGAGCTGGAGCTGGTAGTGGTGGAGCTGGTTTTGGTAGGTCTGGATGTCCATATGGAAAGGATGGTCTCCCAGCTGGGGCTGTGGCAGGAGCTGCTCATTTTCCTTTTAGAGGTGAAGAAGTATTGGGATCTCGCCATGGCAGGGACGCTTTGCTGAGCAGAGCTCAAGGAGGAGTAGCAGGCAATGGCTTTTCCTCAGAAGGTGGTGGTGTCATTGGCTCTGCAATACGGGGAGCTGGGTCTCCCTATGGCAAGGACAGTGGCTCAGCTGGAGCCAGGGCTGGTGTGGGTGGTGTTGGCAGGTTGGGAGGTGATGAAAGGGAGTTACATTCTGTCCCTGGTAAAGAAGGTGTGGTAGGTGCTGTTAGACGAGGTGGTGAATATGGGTTGGATTCACATTCTGGCAAATCTTCTATGGGAGGTAAAACTGGAAAGGGCACTGATAGTGAATTCAGAGCATCAGGGAGCAAAGGTTCATCTGATGACAGAGATTCACTTTCAGGCCAAAGAGACGCCAGGAGTGAGGGCAGAGATTTAGGACACTTAGGCTCCCTTTATGGCAAAAATTCTGCCTTTGGAGGGTCAGGGAGTAAATCCCATAACAGATCTGTTGATGGGAGGAATTCAGGTAGTTTTGGTCAAGGTTCATTGGATTATGGTCAGATGTCAGATTATTATGGCGGACCTCCTTCAATAAACCAGAGAAAACAGGAAGCCAGCCTTGATATTAAAGCAAATGATTTCTTGAAGAATACAGAAAGTATGGGAAAAAGAAGACATTATTGCCTAGATGATCTGAAAGGTATGTGTTTAATTGATGACTTCTGTATTGCTGGTCTTTGCATTTTGATACTCATGTTCCTAATCCTGGAGTGAAACTGAATCTTACGGTTTAGACAAATGTAGCTATATGTAGAAAATTGATTATACTGCAATCCGTTCCTAATTCTACCACTGATTTTCTGTTTGACCTTATACAATTTGCTCAGATCCAACTGCCTTAAAAGTCTAAATAATCTTTGTTTAAATTATCTAAAACAGGTATCTGTTCATTCAAATAAATGATTCAGATCCACATGGAACAGACTTCAGTTCACAAACATACTAGTTCACATATAGTTGCAAGGAATGTGGCCATGTTTCTTTGATATTGTTCCAATTTAAAACTTATTGTTTCATTTTATTTGTTCTAACATCTAGTGCAAAGATCTGTGGTTTTCAAAGTTCTGGGAACAAATCTGTGCCTGCTTATATTGGATTAATATGCACATTGGGCCTAATATGAAGAGCTCTTTTCTCTTGTAACATCAGAAATAATAAGGTGTTGCATATAGTAAAAGGAGAGTAATGTTGTCCTGGTTTAACCCCAGCTGGCAATTAAGCACCACACAGCTGCTCGCTCACTCCCCCCCATCCCCCGCATGCTGGGGGAAAGAATCGGGAGGGGGAAAGAAGTAAAACTCGTGGTTGAGATAAAGACAGTTTAACAGGACAGAAAAAGAAGGGAAAAGAATACTACTACTAATAATAGAATATACAGAACAGGTGTTGCACAATACAATTGCTCACCACCCGCTGACTGATGCCCAGCCAATCCCTGAGCCATGGTGCCCACCTGCCAACTCCCCCCAGTTTATATATTGGGCATGACGTAATATGGTATGGAATACCCCTTTGGCTTGTTTGGGTCAGCTGTCCTTGCTGTGTCCCCTCCCAGTTTCTTATGCACTCCCAGCCTCTGCTGGCAGGGCGGTATGAAAAGCTAGAAAAGTCCTTGACTTAGTTGTTGCTAACCAGTGTTTATACTAAAACATCAGTGTGTTATCAACATTATTCTCATCCTAAATCCAAAACACAGCACTGTACCAGCTGATAAGAAGAAAATTAACTTTATTCCAGCTGAAACCAGGACAAATGTGTATGCAGCCGTTTGGCTAAGACCAGTGGCTACACTAGCAAGATGATAATGTGAAAACTGTAGAAATGTATAACCGAAGGGGTATATTCACCGAATAGAATTGCTGACAACTTAGAAATTATCAAGGCAAACAAAACATAGCTATAAATAAGGAAGTAAAAACAAAATTGGAGTTAATGAGGAAGGAGGTGGGATGTTTATTAGAGACGGGATGAGGATGTTAGTGGAGAAGAACTTGGGAAGGGAAAGAGGAATACAGGGGGTAGAGAATAGTGTGACTTGGAGCTGTTTAGGGCGAAGTGGTTGGGCAGCCCTGTATCTGGTCAATGCAGAGGAAAAGAATGATGAAGTAGTATATCCATATCCTGGAGTAGCTATTTTTTTTCCTGCTGGCTGTAGAGGGAGCCAAGACAATTAGCACAGACCTAAAATAGCAAATCTGTAGATGGATAATGTGATTTGTGATGAATCCATTGCCCGTTAGGTTGATGTTAGGACTATATTGTATGCAGGCCAGCTGGCACGTCCTTTCAGTGCAACGAGTTTACGCAAGCTAGCCCACAGTGTTGTGGTACAAAACCTGTTATGGCTACAGTATATACTTTTTTAAAAAGCTCTCTTTTCTCCTCACGTGCACGTGCATTTTCATTTATATATTTCTCTCTGTCGGTGTAACACAGAGTTAGCATCTTTTCAACACTTTCTTTTCTGAATGTTCAGCACCACCCTGTTACGTCAACAAACAGTTACTTGATGTCAGAGTCCTGAAAGGGGAACCAGCTGAGCTGTCTTGCACTGTCAGTAAACATGAAGTGACAGGAACCTGGTTTAAAGATGGATTAAAGGTAGGTGTCCTCTAGCTACTGGTTTCTTTGGTTAGCAAGGCTCTGCTCTCTGGCTCCACTCCTTAAGTGTTGTGTCAAGGTGTCTTTTCCTCTGCCAGTCTTACTGTAGTCTGAGCATGGCCCTGGAAGGATTCTGCAGGAGCCTGTTGATAATAAAATTCTTGATAGAAACCCAGCAAGATTTCTCTCCCTTCCTGTTACAAGACATTTCCATTCTTGCTGACAGCAGGAGGCTTTGTGTTTTCCATTCTTTTTCATGGGTGGAGATGGTGTGGATCTCTTCCTTGCAATGCAGTCCTTTTTCTTTTCCTTGGTGAATGAGAGAAATATGCAAAAAGAGAGGGAAAAGATCTTCAAAGGATCTTTAGGCAGGAATAACACGAAGAGTGCTCTTTCAAAGTAGTGCTTAAGGTCAAGCATAGACATCATATTCTATGTTCCAAAACAACACTGAAGATTAATTCCACTTGTGGGATCCAGATGATACTGGATGTAGGAGTTCTGAGGTGTCATACTTGAGCATGGGTCAAGGATTTTGTCATTAAGAATAGAGAGCTTGGAGATTTTACTAAAATTTATTTTAGTAGACTTTGTATCAAGTCTTTGTGGGGAGTATATTGATAATGCTTATATGCAGTGTTACCAGATGAGTAATCCCAGAATATTATTGTAATTAAACATGCGTGTCATTCATAAGTCTTTTCAATTACATTCCAAATTTTTGTCTGTCCAGTTAAAGTTTGGATTGCCCTTTTTTTTCCTTTTTTTTTTTTTTAAGAATGGGTCTCTGTGCTCTACCTTGTAGTTAACAAACATGGATGGAGTCCTTTTTGAAAAGGAAGGTCTAGTCCACAAGCTAATTATTAACAAAGTAGAAGATATTCATGCTGGGAAATACAGGTTTGAAGGTGGAGATATAAAAACTGAAGCTTCAATTTTTGTTGAAGGTGAGTGTATTCAAACTACCAATTCAGCAGGCTCACTTTGATGTGCTCTAAATGTAATACATTTTCTCAGGACCTATAGTTGGTTATTGAGACAACTTTATTATAAAGAATTACCATGTAAATGGGAGACAGTTTTTGTACAGGTTGGTGCATTTTGTCTTTACAATTTTAACTAGGGAGCCTTCCTGAATAGTTTCTAATTATTAATTCAAAGATTTTTGGGGTGCACATAACACTTTATCAGACCAGATTCTTCATTCTTGTGTTTAGTGTATTGCCTATGAAAAATTTGCTCCAGTGAAAAGGATAGTATTCTTCATGATAATTATCCTGTAGCAAAGTACGTGTATGTATGTGAAGCACTGAGCATGCAACTAAAGGTGAAGGTCCAAATGTTGTGAGCTTCTAAGCGTTATTGGCAACATCATAAGGGAAGCCTTTCCCTCTGAGGTGAGTCTTACCCTCTTTGAATTGCAGTTTTTAATGGCCTTGTATCACCTGCTTAGATCCTCCACAGGTTGACAAAGTTCTCCTCAAAAACTTAACAAGTGTTCCTACTGTGGCCAAGGCAGGGCAGAAAGTAAAAATCAAGATCCCTTTTGAGGGCCGGCTGCCAATCAGAGCAACGTGGCTAAAGGACAGAATGGAGCTAGTAGATGACACAAGGATTCGTGTTGATAAAACAGAGACCTTTACCATGCTGTCCATCTCCAGCAGTGAGAGAAAGGACTGTGGGGATTACCAAGTCAGGCTGAAGAATGACAGTGGGGTCCTGGAGATCAACTTAAAGCTTGTGGTAATAGGTAAGAGCCCCATAATATCCACTGTGGCTTTCATTATAAAGGTTAGGCAGGGAACCCATTAACACTGGTGACAATCTTACTTGGAGCTACTGGGTATTCCAAGGTGAACAAGACTGTAATTTTCCACCAAATCAGGGTACAAGCAAAGATTGCTGACATGTTTCTTGCCCTTTAGTACAAGGTGACACAAATCTAGTTTGGTTTTGCACAGCCTCAGCAGCAGTGGGAGATGGGACTATGTGCAACAGTCAAATCTAAAATAGATTATCAGGGCCAAATTCAGCCCTACCATAAATGTCTGTGCTCTTTTGGAAGACCGGAAATGGTGTTCTTCCTTACAAGCAAGCTGAACTGGTGCAGAGCTTATGAGAACAATTAGCCCATGGAGCAAGGGCTGGGTTTTCCCCCTGCCCCCCTTATCAAAAGTTAGAAGAGTGGAAGTTTTGAAGAGGCAATTCAAGTGTCCAGCCCTCATTCTGCATGTATGCATGTATTCCATCAGAAACTGAGTGTCCCAGCTGGGGAGCAAGAGATAGTGTCTGCTCCAAACCCAGGAGCACGTCTGGGTCTGGAGTCAACTTGCATTCTCTCTGTGTTCATCTTTTCAGACAAGCCACAGCCACCTGCAGGACCCATCAAAATTGTAGAAAGCTCTGCAAACAACATCACCATTCAGTGGAAGCCTCCGAAGGATGATGGGGGCAAACCAGTGCAACGCTACATTGTTGAGAGACAGCAGGTAGGCAAGAATGACTGGGTGACTTTGGGAGAAACCCCCAGGAGCTGTACTACCTTCACTACTAACAAAGTGGAACAAGACATGAGCTACTACTTCAGGGTGAGAGCTGTGAATGCCGAGGGAACTAGTGACGCACTGGAATCAGATGAAGTGAAGGCTGTCGGTAAAGGTAAGGAAGAACTTTTCATAACTGTGTTCGACAACCATCTGGGAAATTCATTATCAAAGCTGACATCAAAGAAAACTCACTGCATTTTGGATGTTGCTACAGATCTAAACTTGAATCATGGCTGTGAAGTCTTCACATGAATCTGTGGAGATTGCACATCAAGACTAGAAGTTTATTGCAGGCTTTGGTGATGCTGAGTGAGATGGCATTACGTTCTCAGTCATGCTCCATTCTGAATTGGAAAGCAAGTTTCATGGGGGGAAATGCAATATGCATCAAGATGAGAGGAAATTTTTCCTGGTGTGGCTACAAAGGGAACATGTGAGGCCTTTTATTAACTCCATAGGCAAAGGAGTGTCTCTGTATTTGCAGCATTTTTCAGCATGACCACCTCATTCCCCTGATTTCCAAACAGCTAATTCTATTCTTTGTCCTTCAATGAGTTTAAATACTAGAACAGTTTTGCCTTGACCATGAATGTAGTACTAACAAGAAAGCAATGCTCTATTCTGTTTCTAATTTTCTTCTTTCTACATTCTCCTTCTCATGATTATGAGAAGCCCTGTATTTTGAACACTTTAGCAGAGGGCTAAGGAAATCCATTCCATTTCCAGTTTCTGTCATTAAAAGTAAGAATAATGCTGACTTTTCCTACCATGTAAGAATGACATGCCTCACTCCATAGGCTGACAGTGGAGTTGTCAGTTGTGATGACAGCAGGTCATTCATGAAAACAAAATTCAGGAACAGAGGTGCATGCTGGATCCTGTTTGTGTGGAGGACAGGATACACAGCTTCAGGTCTCAGTCAGGTTTTCAAAACACATCCATATGAATACCTCAGGGAAACTGGAAGAAGAAATGACACAGAACGCTTTCTTATCTTGCAGTTAAAATATACCTGCTAATAATGAAACGCTAATCTCTTTCTAGCTTCGCCTGGTGCCCCAGATCCCCCTGAGATTGTCAGTGCCAGCAGAGACACCATCACAATATGCTGGAAAGCACCTCGTAAAACTGGCAGTTCCCGAATTGTGGGATATATCGTTCAAAAACGCAAGAAGGGTACCATGACCTGGCTGCCAGTCAACAATGTGCCTATAGCAGGTAGGTAGCTTAAATCCTGGAACAGACTGGAAGACTTGAAAATGGCAAAAAAGTCAGCTGGGTTCAGGAGCTGCTTAGGATCTTATACCTTTTCATATCAGTGGTTTTCCTCTTGAATTTGTGAGCTGCTCACTGTCCCCATCGCAACTGTATTACCCTGGTCTGAAGTTTTATCTTCTTATCTTTCACAGCTCTAGTGTATATGTTTTCTCACAACTACATTTTTCTTACAACTAAGGTTTCATGGCTGTGCCATAGCAAAGCCAGATCTTGGGTTCATATACAGCTGAATGCCTGGGAGGAGGATTATGATCTTTTCTAGACTGTGTGCAAGCATATGGCTGGAGAAGAGTGCAGAGAAGGTCACTGCTGCATCCTGGGATGTAGCTCCTCTATAGATAAACTGCTATCTTCAATTTCTGGAACTAAAGTCTGCACTTCACATTCAGAACTACTGTCCTTAGTCCTCACAGTAGGAACTTGGCAGACAAGAATTTATAAATGCAAGGAATATAAAGAAACCCAAGTGATCTGTATGAGCTCCAAAATGTGTTTTGACTATAGCTAGCATTATCTGTCAGGTGCAAACTAGGACTTCTTACCTGGTATAGAAGACTTTAGAATTATCCCATGAGGAAAAGCAGTATTTATCCTTTCTCTAACTTAATAGCTCTCAAGTGCTGTTTGATTTGAAAGGGAATGCAATGAACACGTCCAAGAAGTACACATGCACTTGGATAGGGAAGAGCAGGGGAATCAGTGACAGCGTTTATACATGGATCTTGAGAATTATTCAGTCCACAATTCTACATGGAGTAAAGAACAGCATTGTTGTCTCAGCATTTCCTGCTTGGGGAAGAGTTCACCTGAGCCAACATGCTCCTTTTCTTTCTGCAGACAAGAAGCTGAAAATGACCAATCTCAAGAAAGGTCTGCAGTATGAATTTCGTGTGGCAGCTGTCAATGCTGCTGGCATAGGAGATGCCAGTGAACCATCACAGCCTGTCTTTGCGCGGGATTCCACCAGTAAGTGCACTGCCCCCCATCCTTCTGTCTTGGGGATACGTAAAGCTGAAAGTAGACTGGCGATGTTAGTGGAGACGTGATGTTTTTAAATGTTTTGTAAAAGTATGTGAAGACAAAGATCAAATAATTGGGGAATGTTTCATGGCTGATAATCCACTATCAGCATGAGGAAGGAATGGAAAGATTTCCTGTATGATGTCTAAGTCAAGATGTGGCAGAGTCCCTGTGTGGGAGTTATGTGGAGTGTAGAGAAGTATTCAGGATGGGTTGCACGCCATTCAGGGGTGTTGCAGATTGTACTGCATGGCTGGCAGGAGCAGGCACCTGGATCCAGCTTTGAAGAACTAGGACAAGGTGGAGGCAAGACAGCAGGCTGGATATCCAGTGCACTTCAAGAATGTTGGGGAATCTCAGGAAATGACTGAAAACAGGGGACAGAAATCCTAGAAAAATAATTTAAATAAAATTTCTTTTTTCAGAATCTCCAGGTCAAGTGCAGGACCTTAAAGTGAGCAGCAGTGACAGCACTAGTGTCACCTTGACATGGAGGAGACCTGAAGCAAAAGATGGGAGTGATGTGAAAGGCTATGAGGTGGAGATGCGATCTTCTAACAGCCTCAACTGGACCAAATGCAATAATCTTCCCATAGAGATGACCACTTACACAGTGAAAGGCCTCCAAGCCAAAGAGATATACTTCCTACGTGTGAGAGCCCTCAATGACAGTGGCCCAGGAGAAGCCGCAGAGCTTGAAGCTTGCATCGAAGCTGCTCCCGCTGTAGGTAAGTCAAAGTGGGCTGCTTTCAGAATGAATGAGGTCATTCTACAGGTAACCGGATGCAGGCAAGGTCTGTAGGTCACTGTGACGATCTTCTTTCAAGTCCCAGACTGTAGCAGAAGGACAAATACTACTTCCTCTAGAGTATGGTCTTATTTGGTCAACTCATCAGGAAATTCTGAGGATTTAACTGATAATAAATATGCAATGCACAGTGTCCAGCTCATGTTAAAGATTCATTATGACAAAAGAACCCCCAAACTGTATTTTCTCCTCAGATTTACATTTTTCCTCCCTGTGCAGAGCTATACCACAGTCATGATCACCAGACAGAAACCACACATACCTTATGCCTACCCATGCTCTTTTGAGGGAAAAATAGAGTTTTCAGTCCTTTTTTATACAGTCTTGTGGAATTAGACATTTTATTTCAGTCTCTTAAATCGCAATTGTTATGTTGGGTTTTGTGAACTTTATTTTCCTTGTAAATTTTCTAGTTTGAAAGTTTTCTCCATTTTCACTTTTTCATCTTTATTTACAATATGTGGCTCTGGTTTTTTTTCCTGCTTTTTGGGAACATTGCAGAAATACAGAATTAAGAGATAATTCTGTGAGGGATTCATCTTCCTTAACTTTGGTCCTAAGTGAAAATATCTACTTTTGGCCTATGCCTGGAGACTCCTTTTATAATGAGTCAGTAAATAGATAAGTATCAGTCCATGTGGGAAGCAGTTTTTTCAGTTTTAAACTGGAGATCCTAAATACAATTTAGCACTATTGTATTTGGCATTTTTAGAAAAATGCTAAATACAGTAGTATATTATATCGATGAAAAGATAAAAGAAAGAAAAATATTTTAAATACTAAAAAAGATTATTTTTAATAAACTCAGGCTGGCTTCCTGGGGTTGTTCTGTACCCTGTATTGCATGTATATTTCACAAGTGTCCATTGCAATTTCCTTTTCTCCAGATGTCATTTTACACAAAAGACAGTCCATGTTATGGGGTAATATGTGTCAAAGAGCCAATTTCTTTGTGATTGAGACATCACATGTATACAAACATTGTTGTGAATATATTTTTACATCATTTCCCCTTGTTTAGTCATAATGATAAATAAATAGTAATAAAATTTTAAAGGTGTGAACTCTGATACTGAATCAAGGAGCTTTTTTTCCACAGTACCACTATGAGTTTATCAACAGCCTGTGGACTAGCTGTTGGAAAGGCATGAGGCATATCGAACACATGCATATGACTTTGTCAGCCAGTGACTCTGTAATAATGTGCAACTCTTTATTGTAATCACTGTCTTTTCCAGTTTCTCCCAGGTTACTAATAGATGACACAGTGAAAAGCTTCCTGGTTATAAAAGCAGGAAATACCATCCGAGTGAATATTCCCTTTGAAGTAAGTATTCAAATATGTTTGTAAGAATTCCTCATCTGTTTTTATGTTGTAGTCAATCGCAGACATGAAAACTGAGCTACTGTTTTCTTGGCATGGAATTTTGTTTACAAGACACTGAGCAAATCCTTTAACATGCCTGTGCTGTGTATACTTTCTACATGAGAAAAACATGAACAAGAATTCAGCTGTCACTCTTGGCTTTAGTGTTTTACAATATTATGGTCATACGTTAACCTCTGACAACAATGCACAATGCTGTCCATCCAACCATATCAATATTATCATCATCTGGTACTAATCTGTTATACTTAGAGTTTAAAAATCAGTCGATTTCCCTCTGATTCCTTTGGAAGGCCTTGGGGTAGCATTTCTAGCGATATCTTGACTGTGTTTGTCTCACTAAGCAGCAGAACTTAAGCTATATGATTTGAGAAATAGGCATGCACTGACAGAAATCCTGTGTGCTTTGATGTAAGCTTGGAACAACACAAGTAAAGTCTGGGATATCAAGAAGAGGTTGATGAGGGCAAAGTGTGCGTATTTGCTGGCCTTTCTCCTAAGCACTTGGACAATAGAAATCAAAGATGGCACAATGGAAATAAAGATGTTGAGGATGTTTTTTCTGTCCAAAACCAGCAGATCTTCTTAAAAGTAGAAAATATTAACTACTGATGTCATCTGTTATTCTTGATCTAGCACACTTTGTTTGACATAGTTAACCTGAACACCTTACTACAATAATATTCTTAAAAGACACAGAGAAAGAGAAAAGTTACAAAGAAACTTTAGAGCAGCCCTTTATCCAGGGCTCTTAGATCCATCTTGGATCCATTTATAGGTATTACTTTACTGTGTCATGTATATATACATTTGGGGCAAGATAATGAAACTAAAGACGTAGAGAAGCAATCTGGAGGCAAAACAAGTGGGCTATAACTCATGTTGTTCTTTACAGGCGTCTCCAGATCCAGTGGTGACCTGGTTAAAGGATGGGCTTCCTCTTTCAAACCGGGCTAAAATAAACACCAAAGATGGTACCACCCAGCTGCTGATTGCAGCAGCTGAGTTCGCTGACAGCGGCACCTACACTGTTGAGCTCCAGAATGGGTTAGGGAAAAGAGAAACATTCAGCTTCCAAGTTCAAATTACAGGTAACTCACTACCATATAAACAAACAGATTTACTGTGAATAGGCAGTAGGCAACTGAGTTTGGCATGGTGCTCTGATGCAGTTAAGCAATGCAGGCACAGGAAGAAGTAGAGTACAGTTTTCCGTGAGATTCAGTCTGGCCACTTTGTGGTATCACTTTGCTGTGTCTGCAGGACAGAGCAATCTACTGATTAAAATTACACCTGGCTTCCAGACTGACTCTGCTTAAAAAGGCAAGGTCACACAGATGGATAGTGCAAACCACAGGAGAGCAGTTCATGCTCTTTCTTACAGTCTAAGATTAGTTAGTAGCAGGCTATAGGACAATTTAGTGCTACAACAACTCTACATGCTGTCTCCCTAAGAGATGAAAAAGTTTAGCTGTACCAGCCCTCATCTCCTCCCTATAAGAAAGAAAGGAGGCCCAGCAATCCAGATGTAATGCAGTAGAAGTTCAGTTAATAGCAAATGAGTTTGTGTGACTGGAGAAGGAATCAAATTTTGTTTACTCAGCCCCCAGACATAGAATGGACTAAAAGTTTTTAGGGTTCTGTACTGTGCCACTTTCCCTACATCTCTGATATTATTTGCCTTCATCTGACAGATATCCCACAATCACCTGGACCTATTCAACTGGAAGAGAATGTGCCAAATACAGTGACAGTAACCTGGGAGCCATCACCATCTGAGAAATGGGAAAGTAATCTCTACTACACAGTCCTGAAACGTGAATCACAGAAGGGCTTGTGGCACATGGTGGGTGACCTGATCTACACCAACAAGTTCACATTCACCAAACTGATCCCAGGCCGGGACTACTACTTTAGGGTTGTGGCAAAAAATAGCCTGGGAGCCAGTGATCCATCTGAAACTGTGCAACCTTGGAGCATTCGAAAACCAAAGGGTAAACCAGCTTTTACAAATATTTATCTCTGTGTTGTCATGCTTTGTTTCTTTTATTGTTTCTAACACACCATCCTGAAATGAGTCTCTCCTCCTGTGAACATTTAGTTGCCCAGAACAAGAATGCATATCCTAAGAGATATCCTAAGAAATTCCAGTTTGGCAGGGAAGTCTTGTCCCTTCTGCATGGACGTTGTCCAGATACATCCTTTATATCCAGCCATTATATCATGTAATTCGCCCCAAAATTAATTCCCAGCAAAATCTAAGGCTTAAGTTTTGCAGAAACCAAATTTTCTGACTTCATAGTTAAATTCTGGCTAATTTGAGAAGAAACACAGATTACAATCCATAGGTGCGTGGGGCCTCTGGCAATTTGCAGTGCAGAATAAGAGCCATTTTGCACAACTAAGCATCATGATTGAAAACCAGTCCTTTAAACCCTGATTTCTATTGCTGTGAAGCAGTATCTGAGTGTGTGTTTTTATGTTGCTGGTTTTTTTACAGCTGAATTTCAAGTCAAACCACAGAAATACAGGGGAGTGAACCAAAACCAGCCTCCCAGATTCCTTGTCCCATTGAAGCCTCATGTGGTGACTACTGGGAGTGAGTGCCATATGAGCTGTGCGATTGGAGGCCATCCACCTCCAAAGATCACATGGTATAAGGACAGTAGAGACCTCTCCAATGATCCTACCTATTTTTGCACAAATGACTTTGGTGTCTGCTCCCTGGTTGTCCTGGGTGTCACAAAACATGATGAAGGAGAATATATGGTAGAAGCCACCAATGAATCGGGCCGTGCGTTCAGCAAAGCCTTCCTCACTATTAAAGGTATCAGTCTTTAATGCCTCTCTTCCTTCATCATGTGATGTCAAGATATGTCATTGCTGTCAAGATGCCTTAAAAATGGTACCCATACAGCTTTATTTACTGACAAGGGCAGTCTCCTATAAGGCAGTGTATATTTGGACTGCTTTATTGAATTTCTAATTATCTCACTAGTGATCAAGTATGAAACAGAAATAGAAATGAAGGAGCACACGTGAGAAAAACATCTGATTATTATGAGCCAGAGGTTTTGGTTGGCCTTGAGCAAATATTTTAGAAAGAAATATCCTATCTTAATTTGATAATATCTAGGTTAGATTTTTCTACAGTGCAGGAGCTGCAGAATAGAAGATCCTGCAAGATGTGGAAGGTTAGGTGAAGCAGTGAAAAAAAAGCTGGTGTTAGGTGGCCAGAGGCAGTGAGAAGGGAGGAAAGAGAGGGATGTGGTATAAGTTAAATAGGGTCATTATGGATCCCTATGTGAATAGAGAATCAGTGCAGTTGACTGAGGATAGACGCATGGTGTATATACTAATGGATAAATATCATTGGCAATTTTACTCAGTTCATTAAGAAATATCCTTTACTTTCAGTTAAATATTTTCCTTTTAATACAATTCAGCATTCCTTGGTGGGATTATATGAGCAGAGAAATGGGTCAGTTAAATCCCTGTAATCCTTTTGCAGACATTGGTCTTTTTGGCCCTGTAAGATTTCAGGTCCCCGTCCAGTGTACCTTACAGACTACCTCCCTCATTACAATATTGAGCTGTTTCTCTCTTTCTCTTATTTTCAGACTCCACCCTGTAGCATGGCCTTCCTGAGAACATCTCTGCACTACTATGTGAATGTGAAGGTTTTTATCGAGAACTGGCTCTATATGAAGGATATGCATTTATTTTCAGATGTGCATTATAGTCTGAGTGTTTTATTTTTCAGATCCAGTAGTTGCATTTTGAACATGATGCTGCACTGTAGTCAAAATGGGAAAAAAAGCTTTAAGAGAATCATATCTTTTTGTAATGATCATGGCTTTCCACTAGACCTTTAAAACACAGATGAGAAGCTTCAGGAACACAGAAGATGAGGAAAAAAAATTGGCTAAAATGAAACTTTCCATGGAGACACAGGTGTAAGAGATCATTCTGCCACACCACTCACCTGCTGTCAGGCTGCAACAAGACTATTTCTTGACACCAGAGATCTATGAAGCTGGCCTTTTAGCATGTGGTTTTCTAATCCGGAGCAATCATTTTAGATTCCATGTAATTCTCAGTGGGTTTCATAATCCTGGTAGAAGCAGTTCTGCATGTATTCCACTGCCAGTAGCAGCTAAGTATATTATTTCCCTTAACCTCTAAGTTGAAGAGTATGTGCCTGATGATAGTTTTATCTAGGCAAGAGATAAATTCTCAGAGTAAGCTAACATGGAGTAATGCTACTCACAGTGAAAATGCACTGATGGCAATGAATGGAAATCTAGAACCAGTTGTATTAGTCTGAGCAGATCAATGGTGTACTTAAAAACCTACTATAGCAAGTGCTGTAAAAAAGGATGTATCAGTCCTAAACTGTCACGTTAGTATCACCATTGGAACATAACTGCCCCTACCTCATGACATTGCTAGAAAGTTTTCGCCTAACGCAAAAAGAGGTTAAAAATCTTTCATGTTTGACCAGAAATATGAGGTACCACCAGAGATCCTCTGCCATGGCTGGGGATTCCATTACTGAGCGGAGAACGAGACTGGAAAGCAAAAATATCACGATGACTGTATGAATGTTTAGCACTGTAGCCTTACCACCAAAGGTACTTTGATGACGGCATCTAGAAGACAGGAGAGTCTAGATCAAAGACTCAAAGCCACTGGATCCTCAGACAGCCAGTCAAACATTTATGTGGGGCTGAAATGTTCTTTTTGGTTATATTTTGTACAATGTTGTACAGACATAGCAACAGTAGATTATGAAATTAAACCATAATTCAGTAAAATCTACTGTGAGTAAGTGTTTATTTTGGAGAAAGAAGCCCAGCCAGTTCCTGAATGCCAGTCCATGTCTGTTGCAGTTTTCACATGTAATGGCTATGTAGGTTCACTCCTCATCCTGTATTGCATATGTAGGTTCCTGTTTAGTTGTGGAAGAACAGAACAACAACAGATACAAGGCTTTTATAAGTTTATTTCTCACTAAGCATGCTGATGGAGTGGCTGAGCAGTGCAGTCTCTAATCATGCAAATTAGGTTAAAAAATATAATAATGTGCATGGCAGCATAAGCCAGCCACTTACTGGTCAGGATGTACCCATGGCAAGTGATCTCACACCTCCTTTGTTGAAGCTATCGGTACAAGCTGCTACTGGGAACATTTATGTTGCATGCTGATCTTAAGCAAGGATCGCTTTATTTATACCACGATAACCATCACTGTATTGTGACCCCTGTCTCAGGCCCTCCTTGATCCACCAGATGCAGCCTGTGTACATTCCACCTGTTATGTGCAAGAGAAATACAGGGCTACTCCCCTCTAAGTGTTGTCTTCCATCAGAGGCACAGCTGTCTATTACTTGCTTTCCCCACACATGTAGGCACCTCTGGTTAGTGCTCCCAGCCTATCGGCTGCCAAAACACCTCAAATCTTGTTACAGAAACCCTTTCCTAGGAGAGTTGGACTGCCAGCATGGACCAGCCGGACTCCAGCCTTGCAGCATGTGCTGTCCTAAAAAAAAATGGGTAGGGCAGTGCTGGTGCCTGGCCTGTGCTCTTTGCCATGCTGAGGCCACTTGTCCCTGATATGCTGACTTCTTGAGCAGTTTTGGTAGCCAAGTCAGTCATGTCCCTTGATGTGCTACTTGTCCATCCTTTGAAAGAGCATGGAGACTGGGCGTAGACACTAAGTGCCCACTGAGCCATCTGCTATGGTTCAGTGGGTGAAATGGGTGTATGTGCTGAGCGAGAAGCATGGAAGCATGGTCAAGAAAGCAAACGCCTGTTGCTACTGCTGAAGGACTCCTTCATGCTCAACGGGGAACTGCAGTGCTCCACCTGGAGGAGGCTCCATTGGGATTTAGATGTTTCTTTTGAGGTGGCCTGTTGCTCCATGCAAAGGGGGAAAATTAATTCCTGCAAGGAGCAGGACATGCTCCTTGCTTCCCTTGGAGGAGGACTATCTCAGCTTTTGCTTCCCTATTGGCAATCACCTGACAGTCTTCCCTGTAATCTGCATGTTTATGGATCCCAGCAGCCTTGAATTAGCTTCATACTTGGAGATGCATGTGCTGCTGTTTGTACTCTGTGCTAAGAGGAGAGAGATGCTTTCTTGCAAGGCTGAGTGACAAACACCAAGTTTTCACTAGCTTCAGATTGACTTACACTGGTGAGATACTGTAGGAGTGTGTGGTAATTTCTGTGTAGCAAATGTGCAACAGTAGGGTTACATTTGCTATTTTCTCCTTGACTGATAAGCATAAGGGCCAGGGCAGTTGGAAGGGCCGAAACATTTGAGATTGAAGCCTGAGTGATGTCTGGAAAGATCTGGCACACCAGGAACGGGGGATTCTTGCAAGCCTTGCTGAGAATTGCAGACTTATCCCTGTGCACTGATGTCAGCATTAATTCAAGCTAATCTGCTGCTGCTGTTCTCTTGAATATTTGATATTCCAGCCCCATATGCTTAAAGTGGTGCTACTTAACACCTGGGGAGCGCGGCTGAGCCAGACATGTCATGCAGGGCAGCAAGACAGAGAGCCTGACTAGCAGTGTCAATAATTCAACAAGGAAGAGGTGGTGTGCACAGGTAAGACCAGTGCACTAGAAATGGCCAGTCAGCATGAGGGGCAGGTGGGTGAGCGTTTCAGAGTCAGCAGTGCTGCTTGTTTATCCTGTCCACTTTGATTACAGCAAAGTGGTGATCCCCCGCCCAGGAATCACCCTCCAAAGTAGAAGAGCGGATGTTGCTGGATGTGGAGGCCAAAGGGAGAGAGTATGGCCTGGAGGGAGCTGCAGCAGGGGCAGGAGAGAGCTGCCAGTCAAACTTTCCTGGTCTGAAAGTGAGCAGCTTGCCCAGAGTCACAAACAGGAAAGCAGGCTACAAAAGCCTTGGGATCTTCAAAGATGTCCTGAGCTCAATTTCCCTCATTTCTTGCAGCAGAAATCTTCTCATCCAGGTGGTCCCAAACCAGCTCTCTGGATCCTGGCACTGGCAGCAATCACCCAGTTGCTGGCACAGCCAAGAAGGAGGAATCGAGCTGCTCAGGCAGCGCTGATAAACCCCTCTTGCATCCCTGGTGCTGCTCATTTGCTGCTGGCTTGGCAAGCGGATCTCATGCCATGCTCCCTGTGGGCAGGCCAACCACTCCCGGCACCCTGGGGGTGGCTGAACTCATACTCCAGCTTGGCAGCATTTAGAGAAATTATTGCCTATAACCTGCTCTGCACCCCTTTTTCATGGTTTGCTATCACTCTCTGCAGTCGCTATTTGACATTTTTGAAAGATGGTAACTGGGGAGCTGGGGTAAGTCTGATGGCTCTTCCTTTCAGCAACTGCTTATAACAATCAAAGGATATCGTCCGGGTACCCGAGCCTATGGCTTCTTGTCACCAAGGGCGCAGTAGGCTGCTGGTGTGTGGCACTGCTGCAGCCTGCCTCTGCAGCGCTCAGCTTCTGCTGCCACTTGCCTTGCAGTCCCTTGGAGCCACTCCCCCCAGATTCCCATCCGATGAGGGAGCAGCAATACCAGATTCATGGAGTTTGTCTCTAAAATCAGGTTATGAGCACCGAGGAGAACAATGCTCCTGAGCTGGGAGGGACAGATGAGCTCTTCTGCTAACTCCCACCCCAGGTGGAGGATGCAGGGCGTGTTGGTGAATATGCTAAGCCATGCCTCTGCCAGTGCTTGGATTTTTTTTCCCCTCTCTTCACAGGAAGCGCTGGGCCTGGCTAATTTTGATATATATATCACTGCTGAGGGTGAGCAGCTCTGCCAGCTTGGGATAAACAAACTGGAGGGCAGGTTTCA